GTATACTGAGTTTGGCTTATTACCTGAGAGGGATTTTTAAGAAAAACATGAACAGGGGAATAGTGTCAGGCTACCGACAGGGGTTCAGTGTCCCAGACCTGAGGATCTATCGAGGGAAGGTCAGGGGGCAGGCTTGGGAGTGAGCGTTGGCCAAGGGTTCTGGTGCCATTTGGATGCAAAGAATTGATATGGGGTCTAAGAATGAGAGCTTTATAGAAGTTTGTTGCTTAGCCAGAAGATTACGTCCCATCAATGCCATTGGGCATTGAGGACCTACTATAGAAGAATGTCAGTGTTGCCTTACTAGTGGAACAAAGGAGAGGAGGGGTTATTTTGGGATAAAAAGGGATGCCTGAGACCCCTTCGATGGCCACTTCTGAAGGTTGGAGAGAGACCTCAAAGGAGATTAAAAATGAAAAGGCCACTCCAGTGTCTGATAGGAACGAGACTTTGTGTCCAGCCACCATGCCAGTTATCCAAACCTGTAAGTCTGTCTGTATGGGGCAGAGTTGGGGACTTGAGCTTAGGCTCTGTCACTGGAATAACTCAGGCACAATTGGATCATCTCTCAACTCATTTGAGGAACCATGGTCTGGAGGGCCAGGGCCCCCTGAATCTGGTTCCTAGCCCATTGTTGTTGGGCCTGGGGAGGACTCCGAGATTTGGTGGTTAGTGTCTGAGGACAATCCATTTTCCAGTGGCCTCATTGTTTGCAGGTGGGACAGGGTTTTGTGGGTGGCTGGGGGTTTGGGTAGGACTTAGTCCAGCATCCCGTTTGGTTATATCTGAAGCAGGGCCCTGGCAGGTTAGGTCCCAGATGGGTGGGCCAAGGTCGATGGGCCAAAGCGGTTGAATTTTTTTCTTGGATAGATGCAGCAAATAAAGCATATCTGGCCATTCCTTCCTTTTCTTTTTTTGCTTCTTCCTCCATATTATTGAACACTTTAAAGGTTATTTCTAGGAAATCTCGCCAAGGGGTTTTGGGGCCCTTCTCTAACTGGCATAGTTTTCGGCTAATATTGGGGGCTGACTGGCTTATGAACTGGACACGTAGGTACACAAATCTGACGAGGGTGGAAATAACTAGACTAGTGCATTTTCGGACTGCCTCAGTAAGCCTTAAGAAAGAAAAAGGGCAGGATTTTCATCTTTTTCTTGAGTCACTTCCCAAATCTTATCATAGTTAACATGAATGTGAGAGCTTTTTAGCATTCCTTCTGATAAACAGGTAATCATATGATGCAGGTACCAGATGCTGGCATTACCGGCTTGATATATCCACTATGGCTCAGTTAAAGAGACTGCATCATCAGTCACTGGATTAGCCCTGTCTTGGTTATGGAGATGATCAGCATGAGTCTGGGCTGCCTGCCATATCCGTTCCTTTTCATCAGGAGTTAAAGTGGCATTTAGGACACAATAAAGATCATTCCAAGTTAAATGACAGGCTTGTGTAAGGCAAAGGAATTTTTTTCTGTATCTAGTAGGATTTTCTGAAAAAGATCCCATTTTTTCTTCAATTTTTCTCCTATCAGAAATTGAGAAAGGCACCTGTGGAGGGACCAAGAAATGAAGCCGTGTAGGGCCTTCAGGTCCTGCTACCTCTCTGAGAGGAAACATGTCTTTGCTCTGGGTCCTGGCCAGTGGAGGGGGGCGGGGGTAGAAATCTCTTGGGGTTTTGGAGTCATTGCTTCCTGTTTTGGTGGTGAAAGGGCTAGAGGATGGGGTCTCCTCTCTGAAAGCTTTCTCTCCAGGGTAGTAGGGAGGAGGCTCCTCTGCCAGGTCAAAATCAGAGGCTGAAGGTTTAGGGAACCTTTTAGGGGTTTTAGATTTGGATTATTTTGTAATGGAGGGGGAGAGAGAGCAGAGGAGGATTTGATAGGTAGAACAGCCCTTGCAGAGAGAAGGAGGGCTTCTAAGGTCCCAGAAAGCTTGAATATAGGGAACCTCTGACCATTTGCAGCTCTGTCTAAGGAAGTTTGTGAGATTTGATAAAATATTGAAATCAAAAGTCCCAAATTCAGGGCAGTGGTTTTGGTTATCCAGTTTTTACTGAGGCCAAATTTGAGTGCAAAGTGACACGAGTTTATGAACCTTGAGATCCGTCAAGAGTAGAGGTTTCAGGTTTCATTTTACACAGACCAAGGGAGATCCCCATGGGATGGATTGGTTTGACCCCATAGCAAATGGCTAGCGACTGTCCAGTCGAGAGAAAAGGTTGTCACCTAAACTTTTGACCAGGGAAAGAGAGAGAGAGAGACTCTGAAGGAGGGACAGGCATCCCTGAAGTAGCTTCCCAGAGGGCCTTTTGGCTGGAGGGTCCCCTGGGAACCCGGAAAGGATGATAGTCTATGGCGCCCTAGAGTACCATTCGAGCTTACATGGGCTACTGGGTCAGGTGACAGTTCATGGTGGATGGAGGGAGGTTGAATGGCAAAAGCCCTCTGTCCTGGAGTTTGTCGGTCTCAAAGAAAAGAAAGTGTAGAGAAAAGAGGGAGAGAGAGAGAGAGAGAGAGACCAGTATTCCTCGGGTTACATGGAAAACCAATAAAGCCCTTACACAGGACTTGTGCCACTCACGAAGGCACAGGGCGTCCTCTCGAGGAGGTCTTGAAAGCCCGGGAGGGAAAGTGAGCTTGGCAGGCTTCCACGCTCAGAAGAGCTGGCTGTGGAGAATGAGAGGGAACCGCAAACTCCCAGGTTTTGGCACCAAAAAATGTAGGGTAAGGGAATTAGAGAAGGCGAGGAAAGAACAAGACTGGCACATTAGAGGAACAGATCACCTTTAATGAGGCGAGAAGGGGCAGAAGTCAGATTAGTGAGCCGCTGCACTAACCCAAGAAATGACTAAGTATATATGGGCATACGTGTGGAAATCTACTGTCTTAAGAAGGCCTGTTCTCCAAGGTTGTTCGGAGGAGTAGTTAGCTCTTAAATAGCTGGGGCAAGGAATTCTGGAGATTGGCCTGAGGCTTGGACCCGCTGGGAGCTAGGCATAATCAATATTAAATCTTTTTTTTTTTCCTTTGGGTGACAGAGTTATTTGTTTTGCTTAGAATGGTGGGGAGGACCTGGAGGAGAGTTTTAACTCCAGGCTATGTTGAGCTCTGTAACTTTCCTTCACACTCAATCTGTATTCTGAAAAAAAGGGACAAAAGAGGAATTCTGGTTTGTCAGGAGTTCTCCAGAGCAGGATACTGGAGTGGGTAGCTGTTCCCTTCTCCAGGGGATCTTCCCAACCCAGGTATCAAATCCAGGTCTCCTGCACTGCAAGCAGATTCTATACCATCTAAGCCACCAGGAAAGTCCAAGAATACTGGAATGGGTAGCCTATGCCTTCTCCATGGGATCTTCCTGACCCAAGAATCTAACCAGGAACTACCAAGGGAGCCCAAATTTTTGTTACTTCCTCCAAATACTTATTGTATGCAAATGTAAAAATGTTGAACAATAACATTATATATTATGGTTTTACCCAGAGTATACTTCACAGTGTCTTATAAATAGGGGACTTCTCAGATGGCTCAGTGGTAAAGAATCTGCTTGCTAATGCAAGACATGGGACATAGGCGATGCAGGCTCAATCACTAGGTGGAGAAGATTCCCTGAAGGAGGAAATGGGAACCCACTCCAGTAGTCTTACCTGGAGATTCCCATGAATAGAGGATCCTGGCAGGCTATGCAGTCCATGGGGTCACAAAGACGTGGACATGGCTGAGCACACACACCACAACCATGCTATAAATAATTTTTGTAAAATCTTTTATTTGTAATTCTATTTTTAAGTGGTTCCTACAGTCTTTTAAGCTATCTTATCCAAGAAATCTATTGTTGCAGCCATATATCTTTTGACTAGCATGGATTTTTGTTGTCTTTTTCTTCATATTTTAACATTTGGGAGGTTTACTCTATGCCTGTCCATTTTTCTTCTTTTTTTTTTTTTTTAATGCATTCTTGAGAGAGAATAATCTCAGTTGTACAAGGATTCTAAATTAATTTTTAAATCATGTTGCAACTTTCCTCAGATTATTCAGAATAAGTCAAGTGAACTGGGGGAAAAAACAACATATTCAATATTTGTTTAATCTTTCCACCAAGGCATGTGCTTTTTGTGTCCATTCATTCAAGCTTACTTCTAAGTAAGTATGTGATAAGGGGTTCACCCCCAAAACATTAAGGAGCTCCTACAGTAGCTAAAAACAAAGACAAAATCATGTCTGATAACCTCATTTTACTATGTGCTAAGGAGTTAAGTGGAAGTTTCTCCAGAGAGGATATACAAATGGCCAACAGGTATATGAAAAAAAAAAAATGATCAGTGTCATTAGTCATCAGGAAAATGCATATCAAACCCACAATGAGATATTACCACACATCTGTCAAGATGGCTATTAAATAATAATAAATATAACAATAACAACAAAAGACACCAAATGTTGGTGAGGATGTCACTCATTGGCACGCAGTTTTTTAGAATGTAAATAGTGCAATGGCAATGGAAAGAGTATGGAGTTCCTACAAAATTAAACTTTTGTAGAAATTTTGCAAAATTAAAAAAAAATTCTACAAAATTAAATGTAGGACTACTTTCCATAAAGTCTTGGGAAAAAGAATAATTTGACCATTGTGACAGGGTATCCAAGGTAGTAAATAAGTAATTTTTTCCATGATAATTCAATTTAAAAATGGATAAAAGAAACACATGTAACAAAATGAGGCATTGATTTTAGAAGACACAATTGTGGATTTAAAAAAAAAAAATTGAGCTTTTATTTTTTTTTCTTTTGGCTAGACTACAACTCAGTAATACTTGCCAAAACCTGTTGTCTTTGGTCTTAACTAGTGCCAGGCTGTCATCAAATATCTGGTGGAAGAAATCCTAAGAGTTGATTCCTGCCCAAAAGGAAGTTTTAAAAGTTGTCAAAGCAGTTTTGAAAACCCCAATTTGTGAAGTAATAGTAAATATTCAGTAACTTTTTTCCTTTCCTTGAGCCTCTGGCTTAAAATTTGTTTCCCACTAGCATTCTCCCAAGCCTCCATCTAATCTGTTTGGTTTTGATTGAATAGATGACAGGGTTGAGCATGGGAGGCACAAAGAGAAAAATGAGGGACATGACTGTGTACACCAATCGGGGGACGTGCCTACCAAAACGGGCAGTCATGGACACAGCAATCTTGGGCACGTAGAAGATAAGCACAGCACACAGATGTGACACACACGTGTTGAGTGTCTTTAACCGCTCCTCCCGAGATGCAAAGGCAAGAACAGAGCGCAGGATGAGCACATACGAGAAGAGAATGAGTGCAGAGTCCAGAACGAAGGTAGACATGACAATGATGAGACCGAAAATATTGTTGATGGTGACGTCACCACAGGGAAGGTGGATGAGATCTGAATGAAGGCAGTAGGCATGGGACAGTACATTCGCCTTGCAGAAGGGCAACCTCTTCAGAAGGAAAGGCAGTGGGAAAATCATACAGAAGCTGCGGATGATGGCCCACAAGCCCATGCATACAACATGGGAATCTGTGAGCATAGTGGTGTAGCGCAGAGGGTTACAGATGGCCACATAGCGGTCAAAACTCATAACCAGCAGGACCCCAGATTCCATGACAGTGAAGAAGTGGATAAAGAACATTTGAGCCATGCAAGAACCAAAACTGATCGTCCTTAAGTGGAAGCAAAATGTGACGAGCACGGTGGGCAGTGTGGAGAAAGACACACCTAGATCATTAACTGAGAGCAGGGACAGGAAGTAGTACACAGGCTGATGCAAACTCTGCTCCTCCTTGACAATGAAGAGGATAAGGCCGTTGCCCACGATGGAGACAATGTAGAGGGTACCGAGGAGCAAGAACATCCAGTGCTGGGAGTTCTCCAGCTCTGGGAGCCCGGTCAGGGTGAAAGTTGGCAACCCTGAACTGTTGTAGAGGGCACCTCCCATGCTGGGAGGACTTGAACTGTAGGACCACCACCTGTAGAGAAGACAGACGTACAGTTTATTCATGACCTATTTTAAGTCTCTCTTATGCCATCCAGACCCCTATTTATAGCTTCATCAATTTTGTTTACCACATCACTCCTTGCCCCTCATGCTCCCTGTGGTTTCTAGAACTGCCTAAGTGTTTTCAGGAGGTCATCCAGCTGACACAACAGGTCACATTATGTTCCTCTGTACCTGTGCCTGTCTCCACCATGCTCTTCCCCACATTCAAAGCTATGAACTTGTTATCAATCTACAGGCAGCACTTTGTTTGAGAATTAAGACATCATTCTCCTGATGATTACTTCCTGGGCTGTTCGGAGCATTCCAATTATTCCTCAAGCTGTAAACTTTTCCTCTTTCCACTCTCTTGCTCTACTGACTCTACTGATAAGTAACGTCTGCTCATTACCATGACTCTAAAGCTTTCTTACTTCTACACAGTCTCCCAGTTCTTTCTTGCATTTATCCAGACAGAGGATCGATGGACAGGAAGATATAAGTCCACAGAGACAATCGTCCAGACATACATCAAAATGCACTAGGACTCCCTTATATCCACTCATCTATTCATTCTTCAATCTACCTTATGGCATTCATTTTCACCATGAATAACTTATTATACTACAATATTTTCTTAATAATTTCCTTCAGATCTAAATAGAACCTGAAAGCCACATGTCTAATATTCAGTTCTCTTATCCATGGCTATACAGATAATGGGCTCTTATCTATGTTTTCCATCTATTTGAATAATACTATTATTATGACTAAGCTTGAGATGCAAAATTCAAAGATCACATTTCCAAGTTCTTTCTTTTTTTGTTGTTATTGTTGTTGTTCAGACACTATGTCGTGCCCTATTCTTTGAGACCCAATGGAATATAGCACGCCAGACTCCCCCATTCTTCACCATCACTTGGAGTTTGCTGAAATTTATGTCTATTGAGATGGTGATGCCATCCAACCACCTCATCCTCACCCTCTTCTCCTTTTGCCTTCAATCTTTCCCAGCATCAGGTTTTTTTCAATGACTTGTCTTTCACATTAAGTGGCCAAAGTATTGGAGATTCAGCTTCAGCATCAGTCCTTCCAAGTAATATTCAGGACTGATTAGCTTTAGGATGGACTGCTTTGATTTCCTTTTTGTCCAAAGGACTCACAACAGTCTTATCCGCAATCTGAAAGCATCAGTTCGTCAGCACTCAGCCTTCTTTATGGTCCAGCTCACATCAATACGTGACTACTGGAAAAATCATAGTCTTGACTGACAGACTTTTGTTGGCAAACTAATGTCTCTGCTTTTTAATACCTTGTCTAGGTTTGCCATAGCTTTTCTTCCAAGGAACAAGCATATTTTAATTTCAAGGCTGCAGTCACCATCCACAGTGATTTTGGAGCCAAGGAAAATAAAATCTGCCACTGTTTTCACTTTTCCCCATCTATTTGCCATGAAGTGATGGGATCAGATACCATGATCTTTGTTTTTTAATGTTTAGTTTTAAACCAGCTTTTTCGTTGTCCTCTTTCATCCTAGGATCAAGAGGCTCTTTAGTTCCTGCAGCTACTATATTAAATGGGACAAGATAAAGGAAACAATGACCCAGCTCCCTCTGCCAACACTTTTGCCCATTTGTTTCTACTTGTAGTCTCACACTTCAGATCCAAGAAATCACATGTGTATGCCATAACAATCTTATTCTAGTGAACCCCATGGCCCTATTTCGTTCTCTATTCTGGTTAGGATAGTACTTCCAGAGGGCTGATCTGAAAATGGCACTTTTATGAGTAGAAACCTTGAATGCCCCCTCATTACCAAACAGTTCAATCCAAACTCACAAGCCTAGAAATAAAGGTCTTCTGTGATCAGTACTAAATCAATATTTCTGTTCTCAGTTCTCAACATTCTCCTTCTTTGTACCTCAAATGCCCATATAAGTCTACTTGCTGTTACTCAAACATCAACTACAGCTCCTCAAATCCCAGAGTTTCCCAGAATGTGTCAACATACCCATTCATTCCATCTTCCAGGTTCCAGGATCAATGATGCCCTCCTCCTCCATGAAATTCTGACTGGTCACTGCAGTGCAGGTGACTGCTCTCCTCTGCTCACACTGTCATAAATGGTAGATTTACATCTCCTTTTGTGCCTGTTTCTCTGCCTGTTCTGCATTAGAGCTTCCTATTACAGAGTTACGATAGTTCCTCTTGAATTATGAAATGTATCTCCCCTTCTGAGTCACCAGGTCAAGAGACCAACACTGACACGTATACACTGTTTCAGTCCCTGCTGTGCTCAGTGCAAGCCCCAACACAGGAGATGCACTCAGAAAGTCACTGATCCCACAGGATATTGATTCTCTTTGTTTGTAAATCCAAGGGGCTAAGGAACTTTGCAAACAGGGTATTGAAGATCCAAAACTAAGCCGTTGTGAAAAACCTTAGGACAAAATACTTCACAAATCTGAGTTCTAGACCTGCTCTAAATCTGCTCCTCTTGCCTTTACTTTGCTTTTGTTCCTCCACCTGCATTAAGACTCCTCTATCCTTTCTTCTCAGGATGCCTTTTTTCCCTCATTCCACATTCATAAAATTGTTTGCTTTTCCTATTTGCAAGCTCATCCTAAATATTTCTGATTGCCTCTGCATGCAATACGCCAATGTCCTTGATTTGGAGGGTTGTTTTGTTTTTGTTTTTTAGCACTACTTAGGGTCTTGCCAAGTGTCTTCCAAAGCAATCAGTGTCTTTTTATAACCCTCTGCCCATACTCATTTATTCTGAGAAAGGAGCAGGAGAGTGAGGGGTGATTATTCATATGAAGACATCTACATCCAAACTACAGCCTAATAAGGAAGAATCCGTGCAGAGAAAGGAATATATGACATGGAAACCATGGCAAGATTTCAGAAAACAAGAGTAACAAATGGAAAAGAGAGAACCATAAAGTGATTCTTTAATGTGAAAATATACAGAAAAATAATTTAAAAGCCTGACTCTTCTAGGCACAATCTTTCTCTATTTATATGGTCATACTATAACACTCAGAATTTCTAAGCTAGTCAGAGTGCCTCAGAGCCTGAGCCTGGAGTGTCTGACATTTCACTTTACCTACCTGAAAGATCTGTGTGCACGGAGGGTGCAGAAGAAGGAAGGGAAGTTGTGGGGGCCCTGCCCATACCCCCCGCCTCCTGTGCCAACTCCCTGGCCTGAGCAGTATAAGGCTGCATGCAGGACGTCCCTTGAGCATTGATCAGCTCAGCAGCCCAGGACTCCTGGGAATATGGAGCATCTGCAGTGCTCCTCCCTCTCTGAGTTGGTAGTTGATTTCCCAGAGGGATATTTAGCAACAGAATGATCAGAAGTGGAAGTGACATGCAAGAATACTGTATCTAGTCCCTCATTTTATAGAAGAGGTTATTAAAACTTAGAAAGAAAAAGGAGGTATTGCAATTTTATACAGCTTGTTAGTGGCAGAATATTTAAACCTACATCTTCTAAGTCAGTTGATGGCCTTTGCACCCTATAACTATTACCAATACCCACAAGAAATGCTGTGTCCTATCTGTGTCCTAGGCAGATATTATTATTATCTATATTTTGCACATAAGGAAACTGAGACGTAGTGAATTAAGTAAATTTTTTTTCAAAGTCACAGAATATATAAGTGGCAGGACTAGCGTTTGAACATAGGTGCTCTGAAGCATTATGTTGTGTGGCCATACTGTGAGTTCAGATGGGACGTGCCTCTGTTTCCTTCTCCATGGGTTCCTTCTTAGCTTAACATGGGGCTGGCACACCAGGGGTGCTCTGTCAACAGACACTGAATGAGCAGATGTGACTTCATTGTCACTTGGTTTCTCCCAGATCTCCAGTCAAACTAAGACCATGGATGCTACACATGTTTAGCCAGAGAAGACAATACACATAAAGGACAAGAAATGCAACATTTTTCAAAGCAGCACCACTGATTGAAATCACACCAACTTGGATTTGGGAATCAGACCGCCTGATTTCACCTCCTGTCCTTCACTGACTAGCTATGTGATCCTGGCCGCTTAATCTATACTGTGCATCTCAGGGTCTTCACCTCAGAAAGCAAGAAGAATAATTGAACTACTTCATAGGCTTCAGTATAAGACTTAATGAGTGTTAATAATAATATATGTAATAAAATAACCTTTGAACCTTAACTGTCACATAATAAGCTATCAAGAAAGGTTATCCTTTTATACATTGCAGCTGGTAAAATGAGCATGGTCTGTGCTGTGCTTAGGCTACTCTGAATGACTGGTGGAGTTAGTGCAGTTGAATAAAGAGACCCTGTGCCCTGAGGCCTGACAATGAGGCCTGAAAACAGATAGTATACTGTCATTTTGTTTTAAGCTAATTACCCCATATTATCCTTTGACTACAGAGTAGGTTTCTGGTGAATTTGGATAAACGGAGCCAAAGTTTGAGGTGTTTCCACTATGTACCAGGGAAGATGAGTCTCCTGGGGCCCAGAATCAGGCCCCATAGATAGAGACATGGGCCCGTCACAGCCCACAGTCACATCTGAAAGGGAGTAGCTCTCCCAGGATAGAACCATTTATCACTTGAGAGGAGCATGTGGCAAGCACCTTGGTAGGATGTCAGCAGGGGCACAAACCCTGAGTTCTCTCTTATGAGGCTCACCT